ATGAGATTCAGCATCACAGGATGATATTTTCTGACACTATCTGCAAAGTCTAGTACCCTTGACATCTTCAACCCCTGGGCTTTGCCTGTAGGATTTGGTGGCAGAAGGATAAGAATTTACTATGGAATACAAGTGCCAAGCTCTGTGTGTGCACTTCTGGCATAAGCAGCAGTTCTGGTACAGAGGAGAGTCGCTAAATAACATTTGGTGTTTATTTTTTCCAGATGAGTTTGAGTTTTTAAAAGTTGGTATTTAAACTCAAAGGCCAAACATTCAAGTTTACATGGAGGATTGGAGCTTAAACCTTGTTACATATTACTTGTCAGTAACATAGACAATGCACCTAAAAGTTCCATCCAGAATGGCTCATTTCTGGATGAAATGATGATGAATTGATAGTAAGTTAACATGAATGGAGATTTTACACTGGTTTAATTGCTATGATGACTTGAAATATTAGCCATTTTGGTAAAGTGACTTTTTTTCCTTTTCTTTTTCATTTTTGTTGATTTTTTTAAGTGACCATTTAAAATTCAGCCCAACCCTCTACCACTTGTCTGCTTCCTGTCCCCACAACACATTTGTTTTCCCAGCATGCAATGTGAACTTTTGCTTTGGCCACGTATGTGTGTGTGTGTGTGTGTGTGTGTGTGTGTGTGTGTGTGTGTGTACACATGCATGGAGTACTGAAGCACAGTTTATTCAAAGCTGTTATGTTGTGCAGGACTCCTCAGATGCAAACGAAGACCCAGAAAGAACTAGCAGAAGCAATCCAGGGGTATACGCTAAGCCTCTTAGAGTGACACAGAACTCAGGCAGGCTCTAAGAATCAGGCATTTCGACCGCAGACTGAATTTTTCTCTCTCAACTCTTGCTTGTTTCTTCCTGAGTGCTGATGTTCTATTTCTCACTGCAGAATGACTTTCTCTGCATGGTCAAAAACATGACACACTTCTCAAGGCTCCAGAGTGTGGCATTTTAGAGTTTTAGCCACCAGATAGAGAGGCCTGTTCTAAATCCTGGTAACCCCAGGAGCAAATCCAGGCGTCTCTGCTCTCACTGGAGCAGTGGAATTGTGTGTGTGTGTAGCAGCTCTGAGAGGGTCATGGAGTGGACTGGCAGGAGAAGGAAACCTTACAAAGAGGAGGATGAAGTGCCGTTCCCAGAAGAAGAAGGTGGTCCCTGCAGGTTCCCAGAAGACTAGGTGTGTGCTGGTCTTGTTCTTGTGCATTCCTGAGGATTTACTGCGAATCTGAGGGCCTATTTTAAATCACTTGGCGGGCTTAACTGTGATCTTAGATTTTTGTTTTTCCTTCCAGCTTCTTGTCAACTGCCAGCTTTAATTATAATGATCTGTCAGCAGGCATGTCCTAGCGCTTCTTCTTCATTTGTCAAATTGATCTTAACGAAATTAAAAAGTCCGGTGAGAGAATCCTTCTTTAGGACAGCAGAAGGCTGAACAGTCAGCTCCCCAGCATTTTTGTAAACCGGAATCATTGTTGCCAAGATTAGGTTCAGCTGCTCTTTAATCTCTCTGTGGAGTCAGAAGCAGTACAACTGCTGCTCTGCAGGGAGTATCTGGAAACTCTACACAGATGGAAGAGTACATCCTTTTTGTCCTTCTCCATCTAGGTGAGTAAGCATAATCCCAAAGGGAGAAAAACTGGTCTTTGGACATTGACTTCCACGTTCACTTCTTGTGTTTCAAGATTTGCATGAGTGATTCTAGTTAGTAATATAGTCTTTAAAAAGTGCTGAGGATGGATGTAAAGTGTTCTCACCACAAAAATGATAACGAATTAATCACAATAGCACAAGAGAGAGATCGGCAGTTGTGGGACATAGAGGGAGGAAGGGGGGCGAGTATGTGACAACACAAAGGGTATCTGCTCCTAAACCCAGAGAACTAAGTGAGAACCAGTTAGAGGCCCGACCTTTATCTGCACATCCATTACTTATGAACTCAATCCTGACTTGTACCCCATATCTTTAGGATAAAATAAAGTTAAAAACAAATGATAAGGATGGAGATAATGCACATGTTAATTAGCTAGATTTAGTCATTCCACAATGTATTATATATAAAATTTAAAACATCATGTTATCCATGGCAAACATACAATCTTATCTGTCAGTTTTAAAAAATAAAATAATTTAAGATAAATAAAATAAAGGATGTGTTCTTTCTACCCAGAAAAAACAAAAACCAAAAAATGTTTGAGTTACTTTTCAATGGAAAATTGCCTGGGTACATTTGGAATTTATTAAAAATAAAGTTCTTGGTAGTCTTCCCTACACCTTGCAGAATACTAGTTTCCCCTAGCTCTCAGTATTATCTGTCTCCAGTTCCATCTTTGCTGGAATTTAGGATCAAATGAGTAGAATCTGCAGTCTAGCTAAGCCCCCAAATGACTGTTGTTGCCGTGGAAACAGTTGAAGGCCTCTCAATTAAAACTGCCTCTGCAGGCCAGGCAGAATAAGTATGAAAATGAGTTTGTCTGAGAAGTCAATTCTCATCCTTCTAATTAAATCCAGAGAGTGTAGATGATCCAGGAACCTCCTGACAGTTGGGATCATACATTTTTTGTCTTTTGGGGAGAACTTATCTTGATATTTCAGGCCCAGGTATATGTTTGTTTGCTTATTGCTTGCTTTGCTGAGTTGCCCAGATAATTGTCTTTGTTATCCACTGAGCTCTTTGTGTATAACCATGGATCATAGAAGAGTGTTTGGGAACAATCTGATCTTTGCACAGACTTGTTTGTGAGTCACAAATAAAAAGCCCATTAAAAAATGGGTGAAATCATAGAATAGTCTTCAAGTTGGAAGGAGCCAAAAGGTCATTAAGTCCCAATCTCCTATCCGGTTTGAGAATCCTTCATAGAGCATTGTTGACAAAGGTCCACAGCATCCATGCCCTGGACTGGTGAAGCTCATATTTCTTAGGGCAGCCTCTTAGTTTCATTGAAGAGACCTGGTAGTATAAGAAATGCCTCTTTATAATGGAACTGACATCAGTCTATCAATTCTACCTACCTCTTCTTTCTGGTACCAAGAAAACTGGGTCTACTTCTTTCCCCATAATTAAATTAACTTTTTAAATGTTAAGAATGTTTTCAGCTACCTCTAAAGTCCTGTTTCTTTTTCCTTGGTTGAAGAGGTCTAAAACATGAAGATTTCAAGTGTTATAAGCTGTGGGTTAAGGGCATTCTGGGGGCAGGGGACCACGTAGGCTGGTTTCCTTCCAGCTGTGGCCTCCACCACTTCTGCTTGAGTTTCTTTTGATTTCTCCGGCAAGTTTTTTCTCAGCATCGTTTGTATAGATGGGGAATTCGTTTCAGTATTTCTGTGTTTTCCTTCAAACCTTTTTCCCCCTGGAATGAGTATTCATAGTTCAGAGCTTGGAAACCTTAGAAACACAACATTGGATCAAACCATTGGTCTGTGCAGTCTTATGAAGGGTGTGGTTGCCTTCTGTGATGATACTTCAGAAGTTAGTGAGTACACCCTCATTCCTAACTGCTTTAATAACCTTTCAACCTTTCATCTGTGAGTTTATTTAAATCCTTGACCTTTTAAATTAGAGTTAAGTTTTGCTTTTTAAGAGTCCTTTAACTATTCCTTCATGTGTGTTCTGTTATTAATACCCTATTAAAGTTCTTACGTTGATGTCCTCCTAAAGAAATAATCAGAAAAACCTAGCAAACAAAATGCTCCTCTCCAAAATCTTCCTACAACCTTGAAATGAAGTAAAAGTTAAAACTCCTAAACTCAGATGGTGATTAGTGCTGACGGGGAAGCAAGTACATGGTCCCTGCGTGGCAGGGAGAGTGTACTAAAATAGACAGTCTGTTCTGGTTCCAAAAAATCAATAGTTGTATCACCTTCAGCCACTCACCAAACTGTTTAGAGTTCCATTTTCCTCAAGTGTAAAATTTGATGAATGCTGCCTGTTCTCCCAGGTTGTAGGGAATGCTTTGAAACAAGCTGTTTAATATTAAGACTTTATAGCAATTGATACCATGATACTCTGAGGGTGTTCTGGTTTGAGAGTTCAAGACAAATTTAGTAAGGTAAGAAAATAAAATATTGGTGATATTGGGTATTTAAGACTCACATACATCCACAGTTTCCAAATAATTTTATACTTTCTAGTATTCATTCTGGGTAGTATTTGATGTGGTATCATCCCACTCGTAGGGGAGAAAGGATTTCAGTAAATAAAATAAGTGGCATTGTTTGTGGATAAATGAAATTAATCTGGATTCCTTTAGTAGCCTTGGGGCAGAAAAATAAGAGTTCAGCATGAGGGGGGTCATCTTTGATTTTTAAATCATTTAAATCCCAACTCTTAAAGCAGTAGGATACGCTGACAACTAGATGGAGAGCAGTCATCAGCACAGACAAGTGGGGACTGAGGTGCTGAGCCTAGGGGCGTCTCCCAGGAAGCTCAGGAGTGGATCCTGAGATGCCATTTTTCCATGAAACTTGTAGGTACGTGTGACTGAGACTGGCTGTTGTGTTGTTTTCAGCTTACAGCTCAAGCCCTATTTCCTGAGAAATGGCAAGTGCTTTGAAGTAGTCATTATCTAAAATCTACATGGCCAGGGGCTTAAAGATGACCCCCTCTTTCTGGATGTCAAAGGGTGTATTTTTTATATACCTGTTTTTTACTCAAGACCATACTAAGGACATTGAAAGCCAAGGTAACATCCACATCTTCTCCATACAGGATCTGATGATAGTTTCTTGGGGCCATTTTTTCCCGATGTATAGTTTTTACAAAGATATGAACACATTTAGACCTTGGAAAGAAAGCAGCGTTTTTTGTGCGTGCGTGTGTGTGTGTGGAGGTATTTCTTGAATATGAGTCATCCCTGATCATCAGATGTCCTCTGAAGTTTTTCTTTGGGGGGGTGAAAGACAAGTACAATCATCCTTACACGTTGGATAACTGACCCCCATCCTGGTGCCTTGTTGTGTGTTCTTTCCACTCCTAGGGAGTTTTGTCCAACATCTCTTCCATCACCGATCTCGGCGGCTTCGACCCAGTTTGGCTCTTCCTTGTGGTGGGAGGAGTGATGTTCATTTTGGGATTTGCAGGGTGCATTGGAGCACTGCGGGAAAACACTTTCCTCCTCAAGTTTGTAAGTATCCCTCTCTCTGCTCTCAGATTGAGAGTCAAGCTTCTGTCTTCCACCAGGAGCACACCCTGTCTATGGGCAAGATGGTGAGCTGTACCAAAAGCAGTGGCAAAAACTGGGGATCCAGGTCATGATTTTGTTATGGGAGAACTCTCTAGATCCTGCACCCAACCCCTGTCATGCCACCTTCATAATATAAGTACATCCCCCACCCATGCCATCCATGGAGGTTTTATACATAAATTATCACAAATTTGCATTCCAATCCCTCAGATGCCCTCAAGACTAAGGTAGGTATATATATTTTCCTTCTTTTAAGTGATTTCCCCCTTTTATGTACACGGTAAGTAGAGAACCATGCAGGTGATTGACTTAGAGAAAGCAGGCATTAAGCACAATGACTGAGGCCTGTACCGAATGAATCCTTTAAGTAGTAGGTTTTGGTAAATATGGAGAAACAGTAAAAGGTAAGTCTCCTTTGTACTCAGCCAGTACAGACTTTTCTGTGTATGACTAACTTTTTAGATCTTTTATAGGGTGTTTGGTGTGATCACTGTTATCAAGAATGTTTGCAAAGGAGGGATTTCACCAGGGGGTATATCAGTATTAAAAGTAAAAGTAGCAAATGAAAGGTGAAAGCCTTTGCTTTGGGGACTTCTCTCAAAGGAGAACAGAACAGACTTACATAGCTGTATCTTAAACAGGTTTAGTGGCCAGTTACAGTAGCTCATGCCTGTAATCCCAACACTTTAGGAAGCCAAGGTGAGGGGATTGATTGAATCCAGGAGTTTGAGATCAGCCTGGACAACATTGCAAGACAGCATCTCTACAATAAACCAAAAAATTAGTTGGGCATGGTGGAGTACACCTGTAGTCCCAGCAACTTGGGAGGCTGAGGTGGGAGGATCACCTGAGCCCAAAAGGTTGAGGCTGCAGTGAACTGTGATCATGCCACTGCACTCCAGCTCCGGCAACAGATTGAGACTGCAACTCAGATAGATAGGTAGGTAGGTAGATTGATTGTTTTCATGAGCATAGCCGAATGTGCCTGTCAGTGTGGAGCTTAGCTTTCCTGTGAGTGTCTGAATTGTAGCCCTGTATACAAAATGTCCACTTCCCTTTTCAAGAACAGAGAAAGGGTCAAAAGGATCCACCTTTGTGTGGTGAGAGAGGATGGTAGAGATTTCTAGAGAACAGTTTTAGTGCGATATTACCTGTTACTAAACTCATCCCCAACCTTCGTGGATACCACTCATCCAGGACGTTTCCATTGGAAACAAGAGCACGTCCTTGAACGAGTACAAGAGCCATGAGGTGTGTAAGAACCATGAGGTTCCCAGCACTCTGCTACTCTCTGACATCTTTCCTTGAACATCCATCCCTAAGAAGAAGGAATTCACCCTGGGCATCCCATTTCAAATTTGGACAGCTCTGACTCAGAGAAGGTCTTGGAGGCTGTTTAACCTAAAAGTCCATGTGACTCATGCTAACAAGGAAAGCCAGGGAGGACTGATCTTCTGTATGATTTAATGAGCCTCTGGATCTCTGTTTTGCATCCATACAGTAATCATGGCCAGTTTCCTAAGACTCTGTCTGCCTTAGCTTTCAGATCCTTCCTTTTCTTTTCTTTTTTATTTTTATTTACTTTTTTAAAGAGACGAGGTCTTCTTCTGTCACCTAGGCTAGAGTGCACTGCTGCCTTTCATAGCTCACTGCAGACCTCTCCTTTTCTACACACAGACACACACACACACACACACACACACACACACACTCTCACACATACACGCTTCATTCTTCACCTAGTCAAAGACCTCTGGAGCTCCTGGGAGAGCTCTGTCCCTGATTGTGACTAGTCAGCCTGCCAGTCTTCTTGGCATGAAGCATCTCAATGCTGAGCTTACTGCACCCAGCACTGCTGTTACCTGATTGGGCCCTAGGTCATATCCCTATGTTCCCACTACCAGTTTAAGCCTTCATATCCCCAAATGTGGGATTCCCTTTAATATGATTTATTTCCTATGCAATGGTAGTCCTTGAATATTGTTATTATTTTTTATAATTGAAGATTCCAGTATTAACTGAACAAGCAGACATATATACATGTCTCCAAATCAGCACCTTAATTTATAAAATTCTATGTTGGAAATGAAGAACATGGTGTTGTTTCTTGTTTTTGTTTTTTAAGTCTTGGAGAATATCTGAGTGACCTCTCCCTCCATTTAATACAAACAATAAAAATTGATCTGGAATAAGCTTTGAACAGGAGGTATGAGATAAGTAGTAAGTAAATGTCAACATGACTCCAAATAGCCTCAAAGATCTGATGCCATAAAACTAGGAGAGATGCTGAGGGAAAGAAAATCCAGGCACCTAGGATACTGTGAAATAGAAACGGAGCTTCGTGGTTGATAGTGACACTGGGATGGCACCTGTGAGTCAGTCTCTGTACCTTTGGAAATAGGGGAAGGTACCTCAACAGGGCCCGGGGCATGTAGGTTTCTGCCAAATATTTTATGTGAATTGAATTTGGACTCAATGTTTGATAATGTATATTATGTACTATGATGAGAAAATGTGCCAGGGAATGGAAAATGAACTTACCTAACCTTTATGGAGGTAAAACCAAAAATCTGCTTAAAATCGTTCCCTGACTTCTGTCTTGGTGACTTCTGTGTGTGCTCTAGCGTGTTGACTACAGTGTTATCATTTCTATGATGTGAGAACTGACATTTGCATGTTTGGGGTTGTGCTTAATGAAGGGTAGGGAGTGGTTGGTACAGTGTGGTAGGCATCCAGTACAAGTGTCGTGTCCTTTTTTTCTAGATTGAGGAAAACTTAACTTGAAATTATTGGCAGTGGCTCATGCCTGTAATCCCAGCACTTTAGAAGGCCGAGGCGAGAGGATTGCTTGAGTCCAGGGGTTCGAGACAGGCCTGGGCAACATGGCAAGACCTCATCTCTACAATAAATAAAAAAATTAGCTGGGCATGGTGGCGGGTGCCTGTAGTTCCAGCTATTTGGGAGGCTGAGGTGGAAGGATCACCTGAGCCCAGCAAATCAAGCTGTGATTGTGCCACTGCACTCTGGGTGACAGAGTGAGACTCTGATTCAAAATAACTAACTAAATTACTGGTACCACTGATGATAATTAAGAACTACCTAAATTCTATTTCTAGTGAACCCATCAAGGACAAACAACCAGAAACTCTATGGAAACCTGAAGGGCTGATCTGGAGTGTCTAGAATTGGGGTCTAAACCTTGGGGGTCCAAGACTTTACCGATACTTCTTTCCTCCTTCCACCTCTTCTCCCCTGTCCACCCTTGAAGAGTGGCCCTGGAACCCTAGACACACACTGTCAGATTCACTGACTTCTAATGTGTATTAGCCCCACCCACTGCCCTCTCTTCCCTTCCCTCGATCACATAAGCTGTGAGGTCTTTGGAGGCAGGGTCATTTTTGCTTCTGCAAAACTTACCTACCACAGGGCCGGACCCATTGCGAATCATTCAGTAGATGTTTGCTGAATGAATAAACTTTTTTTCTGGTTTTTTTTTTTTTTTTTTAATGAGTAGCTGTGTCACTTTCTTTGCGCCCCTCTCCAATATATCTCTCTTTCAACTGGCTGCCCCATGTCTGCTTGGTGAATATAGGAGCCCCCTCTGCCTCCTCAGCCACTCCCTGTTCTTTAACCCGATCAGGTCCCCTACCTGGCAGGCGTGGCCCCAGTGCCACCTTCTCTGCCATCTTCAGCAGAAGAGCTTGCCTGCAGTGTACGCTCTGGTCCTTCATGACCCGTTTCTCATCATCTGTTTTAGCAACAGAGTTTGGAAAGGGTAAGAATGGGGGCGGGAGGGCAGGAGGTGGAAAGAACTGTGGGCGTGAATAGGAAGTTGATATGACTAACTGAGACTCTTCTGAGTCTTCTAGATGGAAGGGAAATTTCTGCAGTTACAGGCAATGACCGCATTGCCTTATGGTCTCGAGCCCTCCTTTTAAAACCGTTGTTTACATTAGGCAGAAGTCTCCATTTGGCTGCGTTTTGTTGTTATTTAAGATGTTTCCTAGGCTTGGGCTTCCCAGAGGAAGATGACTGCAGCTAACATCCCTGAGAAAGCTGTCAACCCAGGGGTTTTGTTTTTTTTATGATGGTAAATTATTTTCATGTCACAGTTACTGCCTCCCCCACCACTTCCTCTTTGACCTCTTCATCTAAGATGAACACATCTGTTATTTTACCCCATACAGCAAGTGCAAAGGGGAATTACAATGGTGTGTCTGAATCTATAAAAGGAATATATTACATGCAGAATCAAGGCCACAGTAACAAATGACAGGCGATCTTAAAATATTGGAATAATCTATCTTTCAAGTTACAAAAGCTTACTAAAGGTACGGGCAGGTCATTGTTCAAGAGTCTAACAGTACATTAATCATGAGAAATTCATTAGGCCTTAAAGTGGGTCTAATGAGAAATTCCTATTATCTGTGTTTGCTTATGGGCTTTGTTGGTTAATTTCCAAATGGAACACTAGAGACCCTAAAATGTGATTATGAAATGATTTTTAATTTTTAAAAATTCTTTCTTTCTTGGAGTGTAATATTCGATTAATGAATCTTAAGAAACGGAAGATTATCTGCTTTGGAGATGTATCACAATTGGATGTAATTACAGGTCTTTTTAGAGAGGAACCATTGAACTATATATGATCAAAATAGCCCTTCTAACTGTTCTCTGTGTTATGTTTCTTTTGTCTTAGTTTTCTGTGTTCCTCGGAATTATTTTCTTCCTGGAGCTCACTGCCGGAGTTCTGGCATTCGTTTTCAAAGACTGGATCAAAGACCAGCTGTATTTCTTTATAAACAACAACATCAGAGCATACAGGGATGACATTGATTTGCAAAACCTCATAGACTTCACCCAGGAATATGTAAGTGTAAACTGATTTGTTTTCAAGGTGAAAGTTCTCAGAAAGATGGCCTCAGTGAATACTACTCCTGCATCTGCCATTGTATGAGCAAAATGATTATAATCACAGTTGTCCTTTTCTCTGGCATTTGAAGAACATTGTTTTCCTCAAGTTTAAAGTTTTATTTGGTTTTTAGATATTCTTTCCTTCCTTCCTTCCTTCCTTCCTTCCTTCCTTCCTTCCTTCCTTCCTTCCTGA